ATGCCTGAGAAACACATAATATTGCCCCTTTAATTATTACTTTGAAAAAAGCATGATCGATTTTAATAAGATGTATTTCACTTTCCGACCATTGATCAAAGAAATTAAAAAAAACCTTTTTTAAATGTAGGTGATACTGAACAATTTCTAACAAAACAAATCCTTTTTTTTCCTGTGTCTCAAACTGACTGACAGATTTTGGACCAATGATAAGAACCACAGACTCTGATGCGTTCAAGGCTTACATTAACTCACTCTCAGCAGCCGGAGGAGATTCTCCAACAGCTAGCCTTTCAGGACTGCAGGTGCTTTAATGTCTTTGAGACTACTTTGTAATGTTGAACCTTTTAAATTGATATTTGTGTTAATTACAGCTGATTAGTCCACTCTCTCTAAATATGTTTGTGTAGCTGGCTTTAACCGGCTCGCCTTCAAACTCTGAGATCTTCCTCTTCACCGACACAGCTGTGAGAAATGAAAACATGAAAAACACGGTGATCGCACTCATWGAGCAGACAAGATCAGTGGTGAGTAATTCTGCGTTGATAAAAAGATATGCACACCACGTTATTGGAGATGATCAACAACGCAATATGATATTTTAAAAAAATATATATCCAAAAAATGATGCATTTATACATTTCATCTCGTTTTGTTTCAGGTCAACTTTGTGGTAACTGAGACAAAACAAGATCCTCAGCTGTACAGGGACCTGGCTCATGCTTCAGGAGGTCAGGTGATTGAAATCAGCAAAGCTCAGGTGCTGGAGGCCACCAGCATMATAACAAAGTCTTCAAGCTCCTCTCTGGTACATGGACACAAATTCTCATGATGATTCTGTTATTTAAAAAAATAAAGTTATATGCAGAGTTATGTTGGATTTTGCAGGTGACTCTTCTACAAGCAACCAGGAGTTCTGGAAAGTCTGAAAACTTCACTTTTGTAGTTGATGAGTCAATAACAAACCTGGCAGTTTTTATCACCGGGACTTCTGTTGATGTTTCACTCACTGATCCCTCAGGTGGTCGCGCCTCAGTAGCTTTAAATTTAATTACTGAATTGTTAAAAAAGCTGTAATTTATTAATGCATAAAAACACTCAGTTGAACGCTTCATTGTTTTTTTTCATGCACCTTTATCCTTTTTTTACCATTTTGTATATTTTGATGATTTCGTCTTCAGGTGTGATTATAAATAATACGACACAACAATCATCTGTCATTTCGTCCCAGTTCATTGGAAACTTTCAGACTCTGTGGCTCCAAACACAAGTGGGAATGTGGGAAATAAGAATTGTGTCAACAAATCCCTACAGTCTGAAGGTTGTAGGTAAGAACTCTATCTCTAACAGACATATAATTATATTAATACAAATATACTTAGCCCAAAAATGTTTGGTAGATTGTTTCTTTGTTGTAACCATCTTTGTTGGCAATAAAAGTGGTACTGTTGGAAAGCCTGTTGATTTCCCTTTTAAATGCTGCCACATTTGTAAGGATCATGCACTTGTGGGATGATTTCATTGTTGCTATTGACTCTTGTTTTGAACTTCTGGTACCGCCAGGTGCAAAGAAAGAATCTACCAAACACAGATTTCCATCTATTTTTTTTCTAGCTAAGTTTAGTTGTTGATGCTTATTTTCATGTTTATTTCTTGGGAAATTTCAGCATCAGTGGTGACATGTCACTTGCTAAATAAGAATTCCAGCTGTTAATAACGAGACGCTCATGTTGTTGTTGTTGTTTATTTATTTATTTATTTAAGAAGGGACAGTGCATATTACAGAAAATGCCAGAATTAGCCATGGAGGCTAGTTTTCATAGTCCCTTGGCACTTGTGCATGAACTGCTTCCTGTTTCCTAAAATCAATCACCTATCTAAACGGACTGTGGACGCAATTTAATCACAAGTCCTAATGTCAGAGGGAAATTAAAATGTGGAATTTATTAAGGTATTTTATGGATTAGTTGTCTTTTTTGCATTTTTTTTTTTATTTACAGGCGAGAGCCAGATCGACTTTTTGTTTGACTTTGTGAAGGAGTTGCAAAGCCCCCCTGGAGGGTTTGATCTGATAAACAATCGTCCCCCAGCTGGTAATAAACATACAATTTTAGCATTCACAAAACTTGTGACCAATAAAAACACAATTGAGTGTTTTTTTTTTCTGCGTCTAAAGGTCGTGGTGCCAAACTGATGGTCATGCTAACTGGGAGTGACTCTGCCACGGTGACAGAGGTCACTCTGGTTGAGTCGTCAGGTTCAGGTCGGGCTAACGGCAGCGTGGAGGAGTATGATGACGGAGAATTCATCGTCCGATTTCAGGAGATTCCAGCRTTTGAGTTTACGGTTCTTGTGAAGGGACAGAACAACAACCAGGACTCTGGGATCTTCCAAAGACAGTCCACCACCAACCTGAGAGCTTCTTCTCTCACTGTTTCTGCTGTGAGCAAACTCAACTGAAGTCTTTTATTCTTTATCGAAGGTGTAGTTTAATGATCCATTTTCTTCCTTTTCAGGGGGATTCAAATTTGATCTTAGAACCAGGAACAACTCAATGTGTTCCTTTCTCGGTTTTAACCTTCAGAGGAGATGGAAACTTCACCATCCAAGCMTTTAATGATCAAAGCTTCCCATTAACTTTCCCATCCAGTTTAAACCTGGATGMTGGAGGCAGTGCTAATRGTACTGTTAACATCACAGCACCTGCTGACACTCCTTCTGGTACYGGYGTCACCCTGACCATCCAGGCTTTGGCTCCAGGAGGAGCAGACACCAACTATGCTGTGCTGCGGTTCACCGTCCTCCAAAAGGTTCAAYTAGAAGCTTAGTTTTATTACATTTTAATGCATTATTGAAGTTAAAAGTGGTTGTTTTTACTCCTCCCTCTCAAAGGTGACTGATTTCACCCCGCCAGTCTGTCAGCTGCAGAATCTGCAGTCCAGCTGCTCTGACAGCTGCAGCCAGGRAACATGGGAGCTGTTTGTCCTGGTGACCGACAGCGCTGACGGTTCTGGAGTGGATCGTGTCAGCCTCAGACAAGGCAGCGGCACCTTACAAACCACCACCGCATCCCAGAACCAGAACATAACTCTGGTTTCATACAGAGCGTCCTGCTGCTCACCTGATGTGCAGCTGGTGGTTGTGGATCAGGCGGGCAACGTGGAGGTTTGCAGCTACTCTGTTCACAAAACAGCAGGACCTGTTGCATCTTCTTCTACCAGAGCTTTTCAGGCGCTTTTGTTTTGCTTCTGCATCTCCGTCCTGGGGCTCAGTTTATCATCGGARATAGAAATCAACTAACCATTACATGAGTTGTGACATAGAGTTTCTGTTAGAAAATAATGCTAGCTTTTTACTATTTTTGTTTAGTAGTATTGCAGCTCTGAACCCTTCTTTTTAACAAAGAGATGAACAGAATTATCAGATAAACCATTTCTATGCATAAACATGAAGATAATTACTGCAGAATACTGTTTGTGAAACGCACAGATGTGTTTTACAAGTTTAACCTGCCTGCAGTTAGAAGATCATCATAGTGCAGACAGATAAAAGACACAACTTTTCTTATGCGGCCCATTGTAGGATTCCTGGGGGAAAAAAATTCTTTCATGTTTCTTGTCAACAATCAGTGCAAATATGTGAAAGCCTTTTAGCTTCTCTTCAATGTTAGGAATGAAAAACATGCAATATTTAAACTGTGGTTTCAGAGARATAAAGATTGGAACAAATTTTGTCTTGCAGGAATTTTCTCTTTCTCATAATAACACAAATAAACTAAAGTGGGCTGTAATTTGCCTCTTTGAGACCCAACAGTAAAATAGCTGCACTTTATTGGTATTTGAGAAGAGATGTTGACTGATTTCTCTAATCGTTCTGTTTTGTAAAATTATCAAATGTCATCAAAAAAATTAGAATTTTCTCAGAGAACACACTCAGCAGCTGTTTACTCTAAAACACACAAACCTTACTGAATAATACGAAATAATAAATAAATAATAAATAAATAATAAATAATTCAAATAATTTAAAAATACATTAAATTAATTTTCAAACCTTTAGAAATAAATTAGCAAAATGAACAGTCCTTTACAGAGCTAAATTTGGGTCATAAATTTAAAAAAAATCTTTTGGAAACTGAAAGAAAAATGTTGAAAACTAAAAAAAATATATGTGAAAGTAAAATTGTAAAACACATTTTGGATTATATGACATAATGACCTGACATATATGAAACGACATGCCATATTTTATTATATTAAACGGCATGCCATATTTTGTGATTATAGGATACAATGGCCTGGAATACCTTGTTAATTATATGATACAATGACCTACCACACTTGTTAATTATATGATACAATAGCCTGACATATTTTATTATATTAAACGACATGCCATATTTTGTGATTATACAATACAATGGCCTGGCATACCTTCATTATATGATACAATGACTACTTTACTTGTTAATTATATGATACAATGACCTACTATGCTTGTTAATATATGATAGAATAGCCTGACATATTTTATTGTATGAAACGACATGCCATATTTTGTGATTATAGGATACAATAGCCTGGCATACCTTGTTAATTATATGATACAATGACCTACCACACTTGTTAATTATATGATACAATAGCCTGGCACATGTTATTATATTAAACGACATGCCATATTTTGTGATAATACAATACAATGGCACAATTAATTATCATATGACACAACAACCTGCTATACATTGTCAATTATAAGATGCAACGGCATGCCATACTTTTTTAGTTAAATGTTACAACAACCTGCRTTATTTCCACAGTCTTCAATATTAGTGTATAATATAGCAAATAATACTTATTTCATCATAAATTTGAAATGAGTTCTTTAAAAAGTGAAGTTCAGGGAAATTAAGAAAAATGTAAACAAATGGAGCTGCTGGTTGTGGATCAAGTAGTAGTCTTGTTTATCTCTTTAAGAACAGTCAAAGCTTCAGTCATTTATGTCTTATTTAAGACGTTGAGTTTCCCAGTTTAATACATTTTATTAAGCACATTTATTTATAAGAGTCTCAGRATAGAAATGTTTCCAGGTGTACAGTTTTAGATGTTTATTTGTTACTGGGAACATGAGGCTGTAACAAGAAATAAAAAAAAAAGTCAGACAGTTTAAAAAAACAAACAAATTTAATGTAATAATGTGTGTTCTTTTACAGGAGATTAAATGGTTTTGCTTTTTGCTAAGAGCTCTTTTTTTTCCACCAGCTTCTTCAACCACAATCACTATTTACATTTTTGAAACRTTTCCATTCTTACTGAAATATTCAGGTCATCTAATACAAAAGCTGAGGCAGCAATAAGCGTTCGCATGAGTATAAACTTTTCATGGTGATGTCTGGAAGTTTCAAAGTTATGCTTTGACATTTTCTTTGTCTACTTTAATGAAAATTAGTTTTTTACTTTCTACAGGTCTTTCATTCAACTTGCACATATCCTTCAAACTTCTGAGTGTTTTACTCCTTTTCAACATACATAAAGCCGTGACCTCACTAAAATATTACGTTCTTTTAAATCTGGTAACAAAATGATGTAGAAYTGGCTGTAATTTGCCTTTTAATGTCAAAGAAACACGGGTAAAGTATTTAGAAGGGTGGATTTTTTTTAAATCAGTGCTGTAAAGATGTATTCCTATAATTGTGATTCCAAAATCCAAAACCAGTTCTTGTGATGATGTGTTCACTTGCATATCAGGCGGTGCCGTTGGTGTATTGGGAAAGCTTATTCTCCAAGTCACAGATTCTCTTCTCCTGAGACAAAACTGTGGCCTTCAGGTTCTGAAGCTCCTCCAGTAACCTCTCGAGAAGCTGAGGCTGCACAGGAAGGAGAGCAAAGAACAGAGACAGAAACAAAAGAAGGAAAGCAGGGAAAGTTGATGGTGAYGGGAAGGAGGATGAAAAAAGATTGAGGGGAAAAAAAGAGGTCAAGGAGCAGTGAGCGACTACAGAAAATGACCCAAAACAAAGAGCTTTGGAGGGAAAGGTTGTGCACAGGTACAATAAGAAAAGAGATGAACAGAAAAAAAAAGGTTAAATAAAAGTTTTTTTATTATTGCTTTAAATCTAATCAGACCTAATGCAWCTGGGAGGTGGAGTCAAACTCACCGGCAGGCTGTTGGTGTCCAGAGCAGACATGCTGCGTCGGGTGGTGGGTCTGGACTCCAGCACGTTCTTCCTCGCCGCCTTCACCTCTCGGCTCTTAGGCGGCACGTAGCCGTCCCTCATGGAGATCAGGATGGGATCTTCGTCGCGGCCGTCCAGCCACTCCTCAGGCTCCATGGCGGGCTCGGGTCCTGCCGTGTCCGGGTACAAGTCGTCCTGGAAGAGGTCCGACTGCACGACAGAGCCGGAGAAGGAGAAAGAAATGAACGTTTTTTTTTTGTTTTTTTTTTTTTGGTGTTGTGGTTTGGTTTTGAAAAATTACTGTTTTTCACATTTAAATCATTCAGCTGGGGTCTATATAAAGTGGAACTGAAATGCTTTGGTTTGAATTCCTCCGTATTGCAACTCCACCAGATCCAAACACAAAATAAAGATATCTTTGCAGCATTGGGATAAACTAAATTAAAATTTTCTTCACTCCTAGAGACGCCAAGCACATGTATTTAACAGCTAAAAAAGTGAATTTTGCAGATAAGTCCCCTTTAAAGAGTTGTGGACAGAAAAAATGTATACAAAACAGGCTGCACCAAATGCAGCAACAAAATCAGGATTAATTAGGATTTAATTATGAAGAAATTTATCAATTTAGTCAAGTAATGGACAAACAATCTTGACTTCAATGAGCATCACTTCTTACTTTTCTGGGCACTGTCATTGTGATGGGCTCACACTTCTTATCATGCAGCTTGAATAACCTGAAAAACAGAAAAAACATGAGACAGATTTTATCTCTTCTGCTTGAATTTATGATGTCGTTTTGTAGATATAATTATGATAAAGCTATCAGAAGTGACAACAGCTCAAAGTTTAGTTTTTGGAAGTGGAAAATACTGTGACTTACTCTCTTTCAAACTCAAAGATATTTTGATTTAGCAACTTACTACATTTGATGCCTATAATATTATTACATACCAATTTAAATATTTCTTCCAATCACACACATCATATTGTTTACCACTTACTACACTGAAAAAAAAAGGATTTGGGGGTGTAATAACATTTATGTAATTATTCTTTTAAAGGAATTTTAGAGGAAGCCGGTCAGACCTGGCAGGCCCAAAYGTGTAGTGAGGGTCTGCTGGGAACGTCTGGCGGAGTCCCCTGTGAGACGGAGCTTCAACTCCCATCTCCGGCAGAACTTCGAACAC